AGAGAGAGAGAAAGAAAGAAAGAAAGAAAGAAAGAAAGAAAGAAAGAAAGAAAGAAAGAAAGAAAGAAAGAAAGAAAGAAAAAGAAAGGCAGACTGATTGTTTAAGAGTCAACACATTGAGATACTGATGGGGTTAAGCAGTCATTATCTAAATTTTTATTTCCAGATATGGTTATTACATTTGAGATGGCAGAATGTTCGTTTTGATGCTGTAATAGGGTTGTAACTGGGGACAAGACTCCTGATATGATGAAAGAATTTATCAAAATATCATATTACTTCACTCTTAGGGTTTTTCTCTAGAAGAATGAGAATTAGCCTGTAATTGACCTTAACAATTTTTCATAAAACTTGACTTCATCCCCTCTAGCTGATCTGGACATTTTTAAAACTCCTCTAGCCTCTAACTCATGCCCTGCTCCGCTGGCTTCCAGCAAATGATCTTGCTTTACTGAGAAGCAACCTCACTTCAGCCCTTTGGTTGTTCTCTGCCTTCTCTGGACCTTGATCCAGCAGTTTCCCTTCTGTCCCCTCTGTCTTCAACTTCTCTTTCCACTTATTCTGCTCAATCTGTAAATTAGTAATTGAAGAGAAAGCCTTGCTTGGCTTTATACTCCGTAGGCTTCCTTTTATCACCAGCTTCTCAGAAGTGCCATCCTCACCACTGCCCCATCCATCCCCCATCACTCCTTGCTGTTTGGCTGCTGAAACTATTTTCTCAGATATCTCCAGTGATTCAATGGCATCTCTTAATCATCCACTACTCTTACCTGGGGGTAGTTGTGTGTGTATGTGTGTTCATCTACTTGAGCATGAGATTATATATGTGCTTGTATCCCTTACTACCAACTTGGAAGACAAGATGGGTTTTTCTCTAGCTACAAAGTCAGGTGGGAAGAGGGTGTGTGGAGGAGGAGCCCCAAGTGGAGCATTAGAACCTGCCTGTGAGCGATGAGTACAACTAAGTACGACAAAGGCAAAAATGACTAAATTTCTTGATAGAAATCAGAGGTTTAAGAAGTGGGATTATGTCTTCTCCCCTTCCTACCCAGCTGGTGTCTAGAGTGTTCCCTTTACACTGTCACAGAAGGCTCACCTAAACATGCATTGCTTTTCTGCCCAGCCTTGGGCCCGAGTTGTCCTTATAAACCTAGCAAGGTGCAGTCAGAGCCAGTGTGAGCATGTCCACAGCTGTTCCAAGAGGTTCTCTCCTGGGAAAGGTGCCACAGAGAGTTTTGGACATTGTGTGTAAGACTGAGTCCTGCCAACGAGCTAATTAAATGAGTTTTTTAAAAAGCTCTACGCTTAGCAGCAAAAGTGGGTGGCTAATTTCCTAACTCACCTATTCAACTCATTTGTGGTCCCAGCAAATACTTCCTCTTGTAGGACACACTGCCTGGCTTTATTTCAAAGCTGTCCCATTTCTTCACAGGGTAGTTAGGAATGCACGAGTAATAGCTTTTTCTTTTGTGTGGGACAGCGTTTATGAAGTGGAGCTCAGTTCTTCGTGCAGGAGGAATTGTGGGAATGTCAGAACAGCTTTGAACAAAACTGGATATTCAATTAAAAGCCTTTCCCTCCAAAGGTCCACAGATCTCAATGGAAAGATGCAAAGTCCGTTCCAGCACAGGGTGGACTTTGTACATAGGGAAGTGGGGAGAGAAACCCAGGACCTTACATCCCTACTTGTGAGCCTAGGAAACCCATCTGGGAGTGCAGACAAGCTGCAAGTCATTGTCAAAGCTTGGAAATACAAGTAAACAACTGCAGAGATTAAAGTCAATATTCAATAGAGCTTCTATGATAGAATTTTCTAATTTAAGAATAGCTTTATTTTTATTCCACAAGATTCTAGCAAAAGGAAAATGCTGTTCATTAGAACCCCCAGATGAAGCCTCTTTGTTTTGATTAGATGCAGGGTATTGACTCTATCCTAGCAGCAGAAAGAAGTTACTTAGCAGAGGTAATTGTTAGCCCCTTCCCACCACCACCTGCAAAGGCCAAGGGTGGTGGCAAATGTGAACAGCCACACACTGGTAGAGAATACATCTCTGCCGTCCTGCCTATCGCGATTAAGGATCTGCTCAGCTAGAATGATGAAATTGACTCTATGCCTAGTAAAATGGGATTTGGCTAATTATCATGCCGATTCATGACGTTTTCTATCTGTTGTCTCTTTACCCCAAAGCTAGTTGTTGAGTTCTATGCTCCTTTCCCTAAGATAGGTTTTAGTAAATAAAAATCTACTCATGATGGATATGGTTTTCAGCCGACTTGTTCATGCTTAGGGCCAGGTTTGACAAATATACCACATGTATATTTCATGCTTCTTTTTCTCCACTTACCCCTCAGCCGTAAGTGTCCCCCAGGGGTCTCTCATGAACTCTCTTCTCTTTCTATATACTTTGTCTAGGCAATCTCAGCCACTCTTGTGGCTTTATGTTCCATCTATATGCTTATAACCCCTAAAATCTTTCTTCTGCTTTGACTCTGTGTAGTTCAGCCTTTTATTTTCAGCTTTTTCACTGAAGTTTCCACTTGAAATTCCACCTGGCTATTTAAGTCAACATGTCAAAAACCAAACGTACAAAATTCTCCTGTCTACAAACTAATTTCTCTTGTGCAGCTCATCTACCAGCTGCCCAGGATTGAAACCCAGGTCACTCCTTGCTGTCTCTCAGGCACCAAGATCCACCAGTTCTTCATCCCAAATATGTTGTGGGTGCTGTCACCTCTGCTGTATCCTCTCTGACATTATCTTTTGTGCATTCACCCACTAAAAGCTTACTGTATTCTAGCACTGTGCTAAGGGCTAGTGATACACAGGGAAGATGAGAAACAATGAATAAGTGAAGTACAAAGCACTGTGGTGACTGACCTGTCAGAACCCCTGGTGGTGGCTGTTCAGGGCAGAGCAGGATGTGCAAGAGTCTAAGAGCCTGAATCTAGGACTCTTTCTGTCTTGGTACAGCTCATCTCTTGCCAGAACATTTGGGAAAGCCTCCAGCCACATGTCCATTCTGCCCTCTGTCCTGCTGCCTGCACTTTATTTCCAAAGTGCAGATTGTGTCACTCTCTGACTAAAACCCTTCCATTATGTCAGGACAAGTGCCAAAGTTCTTGACCCTACTTATGAAACATTTCAATTCAGCTTTTTCTCCCTCAGCATGCTTTTATACAACACAGTTACTAACCTCACAGTCCAATAGCAAAGGAAAGAACAGAAATGAAAATGCCCACTCTGCCTTAAAAATTTACCATCAGTATCATTTTCAACCACCCTCTTCTCCCCCTTTGGCAATCAACTCAGTGGATCATTTTCCTAATGATGGCTGTTCACACTTTGCATAACTTTTTCAAATATCAAGGCACTGAATAGTTTTGATGAACACAGTTAATCAGAGTGTGATTATTTACTGCCCTGATGAACTCCTGGCAGCTGCATACAAGTATGTGATATATAGTAGCCAGGCAGCAGGCTGCCAAATATGAATCCTGAGGTCCTGCTCCTAGGAACATTGACTCCATCTTTATAGATGAATGTGATCACGACAGAATGAGAGCCAGGTGCCACCACCTCTCCTTCCACAGGAGTCAGCCACTGCGACACCATTCATTCAGTCAGTCACTTAGTCATTCGTGCATCAAATATTTATTGAGCATTTGACAAGTGCTCACAGTCTCTTCTGTGATAATTTCTCTGATTTTCGCCACATCCTGGGATCAAAAAGGAGTGAATTGGGTCACTGCTGAAGGATCAGGGGGCTGGGGGGATCCTTGAAAGGCTTTAAAGATTGAATAAAATTTTTTTGTAGCAAGAAGCATGTATGTGTGTTTATGTATTTAAGGAAGGAAGGGAATGGTAGCACTTGAATGGGAAAGAAATATCTGCTCTGGTAAAGTGAACCAAAATGCAAAAGTAATTTACAAAGGACACAATGTGTTTGGGAAATTGTGGCAAATCAGTATGGCTTGAGGGAGGCAGCAAAGGGTGAGCAGGCGGTACAGATGGAGATGCTGGAAGGTAAACACAGTGCAGATTATACAAGACTTGTACCAAGGAGTTCAAACTTTCTCAGTAAGCAGCGGGAGTCCAGAGAAATCTCTAAGTAAGGGGATGCCAGATTAGATTGTTTGTGTGTGTGTGTGTGTTTGTGTGTTTGGCGGGGAGAGGATGGGTAGTTAGGTTTATTTATTTGTTTATATTTATAGGAGGTACTGGGGATTCAACCCAGGACCTTGTTCATGTTAGGCACGTGCTCTACCTCTTGAGTTATCCTCTCCCCCACAAGATTGTTTTCTGATGAAAGCTCTGGTTTGTTTTTAGAGATGGATTTGAGAAGACAAGCATTTACTGAGTACCTTATAGAGGTGACCACAACCAAGGACAAGTCAATGGCTATATCCAGCTAACGCTGCATATTTGTGTGTGTTTCTTCCCCAGTGACAGTGCTGGCCATTTTCCATGAACTGCATGTTGACCCTGACCTGTACACACTCTTGTTTGGGGAGAGTGTGCTGAATGATGCAGTCGCCATAGTCCTTACATAGTAAGTACCAGACCTTGGCCTGTGCTTCTTCGACCATGTGAAATATGCTTCTGTTTGGCGATAATTCCTAGTGACTTTTCTCTTATGGCATAGAGATATAGGCAATTTCTAGCTTTTTAAGGAATTGTTACCAAAGAAAATCTCCAATAATGGGTACAATTCGTTAGGAACTTAATTTCAACACTATTAATAAGTTTCATGTTTCTAGCCTATTGCAAGGTACTACTCAGAGGGTACTGTTTTTTTTTTCTCAGTGCATATATTGAGCTGATTCACTTAGGTTCCTAAAATGCATATAAATAAGCTTTCTTCATTTCTAATCAATATCATTTAATTTTTTTCCCTTAAGTCATTTTCCATGTAATAGACTAGCAGAAACCATTATATTTGTAGCAAGTTTGGCAAATTGGAGATAGAAGTTGAGTCAGAATACTCTGTATTTATCAATGCAAATGTAATGCATTATAGAAACACACGTTTTCAAATCATCACGTGACAAGTAAAACTGATGGAGTTTCAGCTAATAGCTAATGTAATTTTCCCTTCTTCCTGGAAGAATTTTCTTCTTGAGATGAGAATGAGTGCTCTTTCCTCACCTCCCCTTGAGACACATTTGTATTTAATAAATGCCACTTTGGTGCCTTTCACTATGTCAGAGGTCTCTTCTTGGCTTTAGATTAAGACCAACATTTTGGGCAACTGTCAAGTACCCCAAAGGAAAGCAGCTATCTGATAATTAAATGTGACAACAGGATTCAATTCAGGGTGTTAATTACTTCAAATGCATTTGAAAATGTATTGTGAAGTCATAAAGGATTTTTAAAAGTCAGCTCTCACAGAGGGGAGTAGGAAACAGCAGGGCAGTGCTACTCTTTTTCCTGCCAGGTGACATTTCTTAAGACTGCCACCCCAAAGTTATCACTGAATTCCGCAACTTGCAAGCAAAAGTCTCCAAATAAACTTCTATTTCACCTGGCTACTGAGAAGTGCCTTTCCTGCATTAAGGGAAAATACCACAAAATGCAGATTAAGAGGAAAAGCCAAGGCAGATTCACAAATGCTGAAGGATGTTTTTAAAGAAGCACCAAGAACAATTAATTAGAACATCAAGAATCTCTGTTCAAGAAATAACAGTGTTAAAGGAACTTCTGGAGTAAAAATGTTTAAAAATCTGCTGAGTCCCTCATTTTAACTTCCTGGGCTGCCAAGTTATAAAAGGCCAAGCAAAGCAGAACCACTAAAGCACAAATGAGCTTGGGAAAGAATAACGCAGCTACAACCAAGGAAAGGTTTGGCCTTTCCACTTTCAGCACCACCATTCACAGTGGTTTTCCATTAAAAAGGCAAACTCCAAGAATGAATGTTGGTGCTGTTGAGCACAAGCCTGTGGGGCATTTGAAACAGTCCATTTAATATCTCAGGTCAATAGGTGGTTATTACTGTCAGTGCCTTTTCTACTCCCCTACCCGGCATTTCATGTCTTAATAAAATGTTTTCCCCACCATGGCAAGTATCCCTGCCTTTCTAGGCACCAGACACTTGCCATTCTAGCCAAAATCTCATGTTTCCTAGCTTTGGCAATTCAAGTGTTACGCAGAGTGAACCTAATGAATTTCAACTTTAAAATCATGGTAACTCTAATTTAGGAATACTTGATCCAGAAACCTCCACACATTGAAATCTGCAGGCTCTTTCTTCCGCCTGGTGCATTTGGACTCCACCAGCCCCTTCCAAGCACTCTACTGAGTGTTATGTACAATAAGCTCTCTGTCTATAAGGGATTGGTTCCAGGACCCCTGCAGATACTGAAATCCACGGATGATTAAGTCCTATATACAAAATAGCATAGTACAGTCAGCCCTCTGTATCCGCAGGTTCCATATCTGCACCGTCAACTAACCCCGGATAGTTCGATTAGGAACTCACGAATACGGAGGGCCACCTGTACCTACACTGTCCTGGGTCTGGACTCTGTCCACCAGTGCTGACTGTTGCTGACCACTTCTTCTTTCACCTGGCACAACTTTCCACATGCTGTACTCTTTGCTTTTCTCACTTGCTCCTTAAACAGTCTACAGCACATATGACAATGTCTTTTGATGCATCTACTTACACACACATTCTGTCTCCTTTTAATGCCACATCCCTATGCTCTCTCTTCCAAGTATCTTCTAGTTCACATGGAAGAGCCCTATTCAAGTTTTCCATGACTTTCAGACCAGAAGTTCAAACCTTTGTCTCTCTATTTTTCTCTTCCTTCACTCTAAACTTTGCACAGTGCCCAGACACAACTCTCTGGCTTGTAACCTGACTTTGTTTACACACACAAAGCTGTCTCCTTCCCAACTTCTGTTTCTTCCTAATCAAGTCATTCACCACATATCTCAATCTCCTCTTTCAGGAACCACTAGGCCACCTGCTACGCCCCTACTCCACTCCTATATGTGCTTCCAGCATAACAGTGCAATATTCAGTTTACACATATATTTGTGTTTCTAGATAGTAACTTTTTGAAGATGGAGTCTTTGAAATATATATTAAAAGAGCAAATGAAAATGTCTTCTGTATTATTCCTTTCTCAGTTCCACCTTTGTGTGGTTTTGAAATTCAAGAATAGAGATAGACCTTTTATTGTATCATGGAAAAGAAAAGTTACACATTTTGATGTGAAATCAAGGAAAGAACCTAAATCACCGACCACTGTGGCCTTGACAGTGCCTCCAAAGCCTCTTTGAAATGGCCACACACATTTCATTCACCCTCCCATCTTCCACCAGCAAACCTCCTTGTTTAAGAACTATCTTCTTGGTATTTTAAAATTTTTTCATTTTTAGTGTTATGACAGTACTGTGCTCTAGTATTTTTCATTCAAATACACAGTAACCTAGCCACATTTTAGATTAAATCAGCTTTTCTGTGCTAGTCTATGAAGTAAATAACTCATTATAATACTGTTTCTTAGGTTAAATGTGCTCTGAATTTCAGACAACTAAGGTACAATTGAATTTTATGACTGCAACTTTTACACACAGCAGTGGGTGTTAGATGGTGCATTATGTCTTAAAAAGATCCAGAATTGTTTATTTTAAATTAAAAGTAACTTTATTTAATAAAAGTTTTGAAGTTAGGTTGTCTCTGATCCATACTGTTATTTCAAGTATATAGGGAGTATCATGCCCAAATATGTCATGCGTCTAGGTTCATGAGTGAATGAATTCCATGTGACAGATTTGCATTTCTAAAAATTGTTTAATAGGCTATGAAGGAAGGCAAAGATATATTAAATATGTCTTGAAGTGTATGTGTTCCCAAAACCTGAACAAAGATCTTACTTTCAGAAGCATCATGGCAAAGTAGAAAGAGCCCTAGATTTAAGTCAAAAGAGCTGATGTCAGGATTGCCGTAAATTAAGGGTGCGATTATTACAGTTGACATGAAACCAACCCAAACTGGACTAAACACAAAAGGAATTTGTGTTGACTCATGAAATTGAGCAGCTGGAGTAGAAATGGCTCAGGCTGGGGAGGGTATAGCTCAGTGGTAGAGGGCATGCTTGGCATGCTTAGCATGCATGAGGTCCTGAGTTCAATCCCCAGTACTGCCACTGAAATAAATAAATAAATAAATAAATAAACAAACAAACAAAGACAAACAAACCTAATTACCTTCCTCACCCTGCAAGAAAAAAAAAAAGGCAAAATGGCTCAGGAAAGGATCCAGTGAAATACACAGGATCCTCTCCTTATGCAGCTTCTTCAGGGTTACCTCCCTCACCTGGTCACAAGATGGCTGCCAGCATCTCCCTGGGCTGTATCTCTCTTCAGGAGAATAGAGCAGGAATCTTTGGCCCATTATTCCCAGCCCAAATCTTAGCACATCTTTCAGATTCTTATGCTGTTTCCAGACCCACTTGTGGCAGGGGAAATGTGCGGTATTTATTGTTTCAGGTCTAAGTCACATTCTTCATGAGTTGAAGGCAATAATTGGTTTTACTTGGAAGCACATGAACTGAGCCTGGGCAAAAGTGGGGTTACTGCTGAGAGTGCCACAAAAAGGAGAAGTGGATGCTGCTTAGAAACAAAACAAAACCTAAAAGACCATGACAGTGACTTTATATGGCCCAAAACTCTTCAAGCTTGTTTCCTTACCTATAATATGTAAGAACAGTTGTTCTATATACGTTACAAAATTATCCTGGGCAATAAATAAAGCAATATAGTTGGAAAGGCTCTATAATCTATATAATCTACATAGTCTATGCTTGTAAGTATATGCTTAGTATAATTTATACAGTCATTTATATCAATATCCTTCATTCTACTTACACAGTTCTCTCTGGTTTCATTGAAATGACTAAAGATAGACCTGCTTCTAGTGAAGCATTCCTTCTTAAATATGGTATTTTATGATCCAAGGAATAGGAGAATAACAATTTTTACATGTGATTTCCCCCATTAGGAATGAACCACTTAGTTAAGGCATCCTGTTTGAAGCTAATAAATCAAGAACTAGAGGTTGAAATGTATTACTTAAAGTTATACAGGTATTCACACCAAAACTGATATCACTTGTGGAAGTTAATTGGTGGGGAGAGAGGGAAAGACAGGACTGTTACCTAAAAGGCCACATCTCTCATAGTAAGAAATCAATATATGCATGTGAAGTTGATAAATCAAGAAATGGAGGTTATATATATTATTTAGGGTCATAGGGCAGCTATTGGAAGAAATAAATATATAAATGGTTAAAAGGAGATACTTTTGCTATGTAGGACCATGATAAAGGGGGAAAAGATAATTTAATTCTTTATTTTAAATCCTTTCATACTGTCTGAATATTTGTATGTGTTTGAATTATATTTATCCAAACTATTCTTCAGGTGATCAAATATCAAAAGTAGAAACTATAAAAAAAAAAAGGCAATTTATTTGATGGCAATAGAGTTAGGAAATCCTAGCAGGCAAAAGTCACTAAAAACAAAATTAAATGAGGAAGGATAA